ACAAACCTCTCCTCAGAACAACTCCCCTGCTAGAACAGATCTTCAAAACAGTGAAGGGATCACTGTTCATAAAAATCGCCTGGGAGCTTCGAACATTTCCAAAGCAAATTCTGGCCTTCCTCTTCAAATACTAAAACATGGAGATTGTTCCCCACATCAAGGCGTACCTCCCCACCAATTTTCAGACAATTCCACCGTGGGAATCGTCTTCTCCAATGAAATGAAAATCTCTGGTGAGTCAGAATTGTTGACGCAACATGCTACAGGCGGTCAAATTGAAAAAGAAAGGTACCAAAAGATTCATCATGATGAGAATGACGGATTGGAACCATCAATTTCACCTGGGTATCAACCAATTGTGCCAATTTTGCAATCGTCGATCCCAGGCAGCTCACCTTCTTCAGGGGTTCAACCAAATGACTCTCACAGTCCTGGATCAATTGGAAGGCTGCAACCAATTCAACATGTTTCTGCATGTCCTAAAGAACATGTCTGCACAATTTCATGCCAATCAAACGCGGGAAGAGATCACCATGATCACCGAAAAAGTTCAGAACTTCACCACTTGGCTGGACATGGTGCTCCGGGGATAATTGCGGCTCAAAACCAATGCCAATCTCTTTTTGCACCTCAGGAGATTGTCTCTCAAGCAGGTGTTTCTCTTATTAATGATCCAATCTCCTCAAATATTCAGAAGATCAGTTCTGCAATTCCCTCTGTGACCAGTGATCCTATCCACAATGCTGGTGTTTTAACTGAAACTCCAAATGTGTGCCAATCCTCTCAAGCCAATTCCCAAGGTAATCTCCTACCTCTGCAGGATTCTACTACAGCTCCTATAGCTAGTACTGACTGGTATAGGAGTTGCTTCAGCAACAAATTTACCAACCAACAGCAACCTCCACCAAAACACAAATGCTCCTCTTAAAGTGTCCTCTAACTTTGATAAACCAAACAACACCAAAAAGCCAAACAAACCACCACTAAACAATAACACACCACCTGCTCAAACCAGTACTAATCCTAACAAAAATACTCCACCAGGCACCACACCACCACCACCCCCTACAATCACTCACTCCTTTGTCAATAGACTTAGAGCAAGACATGAAGCTGAGATAAAACCAATCTCTTTCACCCCACCAAAAATAACCACCAAACAAGGCCAACCAGCAGTAGTTTTCAAAAAGGAGGATTATATGATCAGATTTGCAGACAGGTGCAAATTCACAATAGTGGGCAAGTTTTCAAACACTATGCCTAGAATGGAAATCATCAGGAAAAGCTTCATCACCCAAACTGAACTTAGAGGGGGGGGGGGTCAAGATTGCTCACTTCAATGCCAAAACAGTCTATATTGACCTGGACAGTGAGTTTGATCATTCCACTGTATGGGCAAAACAACATATGTACATCCAAGGTCAATTGATGGAGCTGGAAGCTTGGACCCCTGCATTCAAACCCAATGAGGACTCACCTATAGTGCCCATATGGGTTGTTATTCCTGAACTACCCTGGCACTTATACTACATGGAAATCCTTACTCCTTTACTGTCACCGATTGGCAAAGCCCTTTACCTGGATCTAGCTTCCTTTCAGAAAACTAGGGGGAGTGTAGCCAAGGTAAAAATCCAAATTGATCTTACTAAAGAAAGGCCTCACCATGTCTGGTTGGGATATGATGAGGAGGAGGATGAGAATGGAGATGGGGAATGGTTGGAGGTCCAGTATGACAGTGTCCCTGCCTACTGTACATACTGCAGACACCTTGGTCATTCAGAATTCACATGTGAGATTAGAACCCTTGATGAAGAGAAAAAGAAGAGAAAAGAGGAGGGAATCAAAGCAGGCAACTCGAAGGCTCAAAACAAAGACACACCTGGTACATCCAAAGTAACACCAGTGCAAACAGAACAAACAGGACCAAGTAAGAACCAAAGGAAAGAACAGGCAGAAAACCCAAAGGTCAACTCACAAGATCAAAGGATGGCCAACAAGCAAGCTGAACACCAAGAGGGAGCAGAACACCAAAGTGCAGTAGCTGAGATATCAAAGGAAGAATGGCAAACCCAAAAGAAAAAGAATTTCAAAGGTACTACACAGGCCAAAAGACAACAACAGGTTTACATTCCCAAACAAGTTCCTACCCAGCATCAGCAACAAGTCATTCCAAATGATTCACAACAACTGGCTCCTCAATCATCAGGTATTCCCTCTATCAATCCTCCAGCTCAACTGGAGAGGAGTGATGATTCTGTGGCTCAGAATCAACCCAATCCCAATGTCCCCCCTAATATTATTCCTGCTGATTCTGTTGCTCAGAATATTCCCAATCCCCCTGTTCCCCCTGTTTCTGCTGTTAATGTAGTTGATGGGGGAAAGGTGAATGGTCTGGAGAGCCCTATTGATAGGCAGGAAGGGGTTCCAAAGGGGGAGGGTGTTCCTCATGTTCTGCATGAGTGTGTTTCTGCACAATGTGATGACCATAGGATGGACCTCAATACCCTTGCTACCACTAAACTCAATACCATTACTATTTCTGATCAGACCCTTCATGAGGAAAGGGAATGTGAGGCTCTCAGTTCTGAAGAAGATCTCCCTGACAAACAAAATTCTGAATTAAGAAGGCTGGCCAAGGGCAAGGCTCATGCTGTATCAGACTTCAGCCTTCAACCTCCCAAATCCAGAAATAAACCAAGTCAGAAAAAAGGCAAGCTATGAGAAGGAAAAATTCTGGAATCAGTATTAATGAGCCACCAGATAACTCCAAATTCCAATGCCCAGTTTCTACCATGCCAAGGAGTCCTGCTCAAGCTTCTGCTGATAAATCCTTAGTCTACAAGGACCCTGGCACAGATCCTTCATTGGCTCAGCCTCTCTTGGATACTAATGTTCAAAGCAGAACCTCAACTAGCCCAATCATCCAACGAGACTCTGCCACCCTTGCAGCCACCCCTTTAGAAGACTGTCCTTCAAATAAATTCTCCCCAGAATTTGATGAATACAGACCCATTCAATCAGAAGATGAAATGAGTGGGGGAATAGAAGAAGAACAAGAAGCATCTGATGAAGCCTCTGATGATGACAGGCATTATGACCTCCTTGTAACTGCAGTCAATGGCCAATATCAATCTCAAGAAGTCATAGATGCTCAGAACCTATCCCCCAGAACCTATAACCCAGCACCAAGACTCACAAGAAGCAGGGCAGCTGGAAACACTACTGCACCACCAAAGCCCAAAAAACCCTCCTTGTTTTAATGATTAGCACACTCATATGGAATGTTAGAGGTATTAGAACCTCTGGTGCCATAGAGAGACTCAAAACATTGAAACAAATCCACAAAATCTCATTCATAGCTGTTCTTGAACCATTTCTTGATACCTCCCACATTAACCACTACAAAATCCAAATGTCCATGCAAAATGCAGCTTCAAATTCTAACAACAAAATCTGGGTATTCTGGGACCAAGATTGCAATGGCACTATCCTTGATCATGATGACCAACAACTCACTATTCAGTTGAGTCATGTTGAGGCTACAGATCCTATCCTCCTCACCATCATATATGCCAAATGTAAACCAGTTCTGAGAAGACCTCTGTGGGACACCTTGAGAACCAAAGCTGCTTCCTTAGCTTCTCCTTGGTGTGTCATTGGGGACTTTAATGTCATTGCCTCCATTGATGAGAAAGTTGGTGGTATTCCTTACCAGATCAACAAAAGCCTGGAGTTTCTAAATATGAGAGAAGATTGTGGACTTACTGACCTTGGTTACTATGGACCTATGTACACTTGGTCTAATGGTGGAGGCCCTTGCTCTATTGTATGGAAGAGACTTGACAGAGGCATGGCTAATGATAGTTGGCTGGCATCCTACCCTGCTACTGCCATCACTCACTTGGCATCAACAGGTTTAGATCATTCCCCTCTCCTCATGGAATTGCACATAAGGCCTGATAGTGCTATCAAGTATTTCAAGTTCCTAAACTGCTGGACTGAAGAGGATTCATTCTTACCTTTAGTCCAAGAGGTGTGGAATAGGCAAGTTTCCGGCCATCCCATGTGGATCTTTCACCAGAAAATCAAAGCTCTATGTACAACCCTTTCCAAGTGGTCTAGACAAGTTTATGGTGATATCTTCCAGAGAACCAAAGAGTTTGAAGAAAAGGTTTGAAAGGATGAGGAAACATGGTCTCAATCTAACAAGGAATCTGGCAGAACAATTGCTCATGAACTCACTGCCCAAGATATAAAGTTCTTGAAAGTTGAAGAAGCACTCTTGAAGCAGAAAACTCAATTGCAATGGTTCAAGGATGGGGATGCTAACTCTAAATACTTCCATAGTTTAATTAGAGGTAGAATGAGAAAACTCTACATCCACAAAGTTAAAAATGAAGATGGGGATTGGATATATGGTGACAAGGCTATTGGTGAAGCTGCATGTGAGCACTTTCAAGATCTATTCTCTGATCCTGGAGGTACAATTAGAGAAGACCTACTATCCTGTATCCCTGCTTTAATCACAGAAGAAGATAATGCCAATCTCAATAAGGATCCAACAATGGAAGAAATTAAGCACACTGTTTTTTCCATGAGTCCTACTAGTGCAGCAGGTCCTGATGGTCTCAATGGGAAGTTTTTTCAGCACTGTTGGGAGATAATCAAAGATGATCTTTTCAATGTGGTGAATGCCTTCTTTTGTGGTCAGTCCACGCCTAGATTCATGACCCAAGCTTGTCTGGTCCTCTTTCCTAAGGTTGAATCCCCTAACAACCTTTCTGAATTCAGACCCATAAGCCTGAGTAACTTCCTCAACAAAATCATTTCCAAAATTATCTGCTCCAGAATTGCACCTATCCTCCCAAAAATCATCTCTCCTAACCAAACTGGATTTATCAAAGGTAGAAGTATTTCTGAAAACATTATGTTGGCACAGGAGATTGTTCAAGGCATTAAGAAGCCCAATGTTGGTGGCAAAGGTAGTGATCAAGCTTGATATGGCAAAAGCCTATGATAGGGTCTCTTGGTCATTCACTTGCATCATGATGAGAAGACCGGGATTCAGTGAAAAGATCATTGATATGGTGTGGAGAACTTTGTCCAATGACTGGTACTCTGTGATTGTTAATGGTACTAGGTGTGGTTTCTTCCATTCAACAAGGGGTCTTAAACAGGGGGATCCATTGTCTCCATCTCTCTTCATCCTAGGTGCTGAACTGCTGTCAAGAATGCTTAATAACCTCTCTCATGATCAATTCTTCAATGGGTTCTATATGGAGAAGAGAGGTCCTCAAGTTACTCACCTGAGTTTTGCTGATGATGTGATTATTTTTACATCTGGATGTAGAACCTCTTTGACAAAGATTATGAAGATCCTTCAGGATTATGAGCAAATTTCTGGGCAGCAAATCAACAAAAAGAAGAGTCATTTCATGACAGCACCCTCTGCCTTTCAACATAGCAATAGGAGAATTCAGCAAGTTACAGGCTTTACTAGAAAGGATTCTGTAAAGGATTCTCCTATCACATACTTGGGGTGTCCTTTATACACTGGCAGGAAAAGAATTGTCCACTTCAATGGCCTAATCTCCAAAGTTGTCAGTAGAATTAGAGGTTGGCATGGTAAGCTCCTTTCTTATGGTGGCAGAGTGACTTTGATTAGGCATGTTCCGCAGTCATTACCAATACACCTGCTGTCTACTGTCTCACCCCCTAAAACTGTGCTTAGACAAATTGAGAAACTTGCTGCTAATTTTTTCTGGGGAATGACAAGGACAGGAACAAATATCACTGGGCTTCATGGCACAAATTAGGTCAACCAAATGAGGAAGGGGGCATAGATTTAAGATTAACTAAAGACGTCTGCAAAGCCATGGAATACAAGCAATGATGGTTATTTAGAACAAAGCAGACATTATGGAGTGAATTCCTCCTAGCCAAATACTGCAAGAGATCCCATCCCATATCCAAAAAATGGAACTCTGGTCAGTCCCAAACTTGGAGGAGAATGATGATCAACAAGAAGGAAGCTGAAAACAACATTCATTGGAGGCTACATTCAGGAAATGCTTCCTTTTGGTGGGATAACTGGATGGGTATAGGGCACCTTGCCAGGTTCAGGGATGGAGGAGGTAGACCTGGCAAGGTCACAGTTTCTACCTTCTGGACTAATGGCCAATGGGATATTCAAAAGCTCAATCACATAGTCCCCACCCACATGATACCCCAAATCCTCCAAACACAGATCCACTTCAACCCTCACCTCTGTGATAAGACAATCTGGACCCCTACCAACTCTGGCACTTTCTCTTGTGCTTCTGCTTGGTCTGTGTTAAGGAAAAAGAAACAGGTTCTCCTAACCAATAAAATGACTTGGCACAAACATATCCCCTTCAAATGGTCCTTCTGTCTATGGAGGGCTCTGAGACATAAACTTCCTACTGATGATAGAACTGCAAGGTTTGGGCCTCCAAGTGTTAACAAGTGTGTATGTTGAATCAAACCTGCTTCTGAAACAGCAGAGCACATTTTTAGTTCTGGGCACTTTGCAAGGAATATTTGGAAGCATTTTAATGGTCCAGTGGGTATCAGTTCCCCCAGTTGTCCTCTAAGAACCATTCTCATGAAGTGGTAGGTGCAACACAGGAAGAATGCAGTACAGAAGCTCCTGTTAGATACCATACCAATCATCATATGCTGGAACCTATGGAAGAATAGGTGTGCCACCAAATATGGGGGGAAAGCATCATCCACCACTAGAACCCTGTTCTCCATTACTTCAGATGCAATCCTTCTCCTCAAAGCAAATGGCCAACCAACTGGCTGGACATATACTCTGCATCTGAAAACCTTGAACACCACATCTAAGTGCTGCAGGTTATATGGTCCAAACCAGACACCGGCTATGTCAAGATCAATTCTGATGGTAGTGCCCTTTCTAATCCAGGGAAAATAGGGGCAGGAGTTGCTATCAGGGACCATCAGGGCCAACTTATCCATGCAATTGCCAGCCCTCTGGGAGAAGGCTCCAATAACTTAGCAGAAACTGAGGCAACATATATTGGGATCCAATGGTGCCTTGAAAATGAATACTCTAAAATTCATCTTGAAACTGATTCTAAGCTCCTCATCATGTGGTTGACCATCAACTCTGAATCCCCATGGTCATTACACATGCATCTCCAGAAGATCAGAACCTTGGCACAACAATGTGAGCACATCATTTTCACACACACCTTTAGAGAAGCCAACTTCCCTGCAGATTCCCTTTCAAAACTCAGTCATGATCTTACCTCCCTAACCCATTTCTCCAACCTCCAGGAATTACCAACCCACATCAGAGATCAGATATACCTTGACCAGCAAAGCACCCCTGCCTTCAGACATAAAGAGACCACTAGGGTCATCTTCCCACCTCACATCCTCCTCTGAAACTCCCAATTTTTATGGAAACCACTAAACAACACAAAAGGCCACCCTTGCTAGCCCAAGATACCAAGTCCCACAGCAGCAGCAACATGATGACAATCAGTCAGAAAACACAGAAGAACAGAAGTCAGGAAAATAAGGGCAGAAATGCCAACATTTTCACTAACTTTGTTTGGTTTTTTGCAGGTTGTCTCTTTCATTATATTCTCAACCAGTTGATGAAATATCAGAGTTTGACACATGCTCCTCTAGACTGTCAACCTCCAATGCATTACCACCATATCACACCTCCTTTCTATACCATATACTACTAAAGACCTCCTGATATCCATCATCTGCAGGCATGCATCCTCCCCAGACCTGTACCCAACCAATTGTTCTCTTCTTCTCATTTCAAGACTCCTAGAACCCACCAGAACCTAGAAGAGCCCCCCTTCCTTGGGCAACTCCACAAAACACACCTTCATGAACCTCTCACACAAAACAGTTACAAAAAATTGGGCAAAACTGCCCAGTTATTCTCTGAATCTTTTTCTGATTCTGCAGGTTCCTCTTACCTCTCATTACCCACTCAGTTGGTCTGGTTTTTGGAAGTGATATCAACATTACTGATATTCATATTCCCAGAACTAAACAAATGGATGGTCACCCACCTCTCACTCAGTAACATCACCAAAAATCTACAGCAAAAACCAACTTCTCCAGCTGTAGATGATGCAGATTTCCACCAGTACTATAGGTTATTCCATACCTGCAGTCATGGACCTCCAACTCAAGGTCCACTTCTCATCATGAGCACCTATACTACTGATTGCAGTCCACACAAGAACATGCAATCAGAGGATAGGACAGGGATCCCAATTGCTCCCCTTACCCCAGACTCATCTCCAGTGGACACAAGAACTTGGAGATTGAGCTCCTATTCACTAACATGTTTGTTGTTTCTTGCAGGTATTTGGAGCTCACTTGTTCAATTGATGAATTTCCAAACAGTGGTATTAGCATGCTTAATGCTCATTCTGCTGGAATTTTGTCAGTTGTTCCAAGTCTCTCCAATCATCCACACAGACCATCACTTCAATCTCCAACATCTGTCACCCATTCTCTCAACAACAGTGCTGCTGATCACTTTTAGGGACTCAGTTCTGAATGCTACCCCTTTGCACAGGCACAGATTCATCCTGATCATGGCTATGGGTTCAAACCTAGCCACACTCCAGTGTCAGAAGATCACCCAGTTCATCACCTACTTCAGTCATCATGAATCAATATCACAACCTGCAGATTTGAAGGAAATAAATGCAGGACAGTGCTCTCTCTTTTCTGTCAGGATCTACAGGCAGAATCAACACTCATGCCTAGTTATTTGGACCTTTTTTGTAAGCTGTCTTCAACTTGGCTTTCTTTGGTATCAATGTCAAAGCAAAGTTGAAGATGGTTCCCTCAGTTATCACAATGTTTTTGCCTCCTTCTTTAGGGATTTTCTACATATTGTTAGGTGTAGAATGTGTTGTATATGGAAGATGGAAGATGTACTTCCAACTCATCTCTTTGGTAGAATTAGGCTTACTTGTACTTTTTGTATAGTTGACCTAGGTTCTCTTAATCATGATTTTGTGGATCCAATTGACTATCCTTGTTGGACAGTCAATTGGATCACCATTATAGGTCTAACTCACCATAGCTCACAGGTTTCATCTGAACATCCTAGATGGATAGTCAGGTGTCCTTGTACTATATTTTCCGGAGGTCAGGTCTATGCCCCCGTCCTTTGTTGTACTTTATGTTTTATATATATGAAAATCAACCACAGGCATCCTGCCTAGTGGATTATTTAAAAAAAAAATAACTACTTGCCTAACCACTAATAACATTAACTCTACTTAAGCTAACTAGAGTTAGATAGATTTGAGTACTCTCAACACTCTCCCTCAAGCCAATGGCTTGAACAAGTTCTGTACTCCGAGTCTGCCTTGCAAGTAATCATGTTGAGTTTTCCTAGACCTTTTGTGAGTAGATAAGCCAGTTGTTCTTTGGTTGAAACATGCTCAGTTCTCAGTATTTCTTGTGTAATCATTTCTCTTATGAAATGACAGTCAATGTCTATATGCTTGGTTCTTTCATGAAAAAATGGATTGGCTGCTATTTGGATTGCAGCCTTGCTGTCACACTTAAGCTTCACAGGTAATTCCACATCCATTCCAAGCTCTTTGAGTAATCCAATAAGCCAAGTTATTTTAGCTGCACATGAAACCATGTTTCTGAACTCAGCTTCAATTGAGCTTCTGGAAATTGTCTCCTATTTCTTTGACTTCCAAGAGATTAGTGCATCTCCAAACTTCACCAAATAGCCTGTTACAAACCTCCTGGTTTGCAGACATGTTCCTCGGTCTGAGTCACAATAAGCACTTAGCATATTGGTATTCTGTGCAGGCATCAACAGACCTAAACCTGGGACTTCTTTTAGGTATCTTACTACTTTAAATGCTGCTTCCATATGAGACTCCTTTGGGCAGTGCATATATTGACTCAACATTTGTGCAACAAAGGCTAAGTCGGGTCTTGTCATGGTTAGGTACAGAAGTCTACCCATTAGTCTTTGATACCCTCCTGTATCTTTGAGTAGTTTATCTTCATGCTCCTCATCACCTCTTAAACACCTATCATATTCTTCAGAAGTTAGCTTCTGATTCACTTTAAGTGGTGTTCCTGCTGGTCTTGCTCCCCCTAAGCCTGACTTAGAGATGAGTTCAAGTGCATACTTCCTTTGGCCCATCATAATCACTTTCTTGAACCTTACAAACTCAATGCCTAGGAAGAACTTCAATTCACCTAGATCCTTCATTTTGAACTAACTTTATAGATCTTTTCTGGTTTGATTCAGTAGAGATTTGTTGTTGCCTGTAGTGAGTAGATCATCAACATAAACTATGATCACTGTTAGATCACTACCTGCTTTCCTTGTAAACAACGAGAACCATAGTGACTTTGTTGGAACCCCATATGCAGCAGTGACTCTATCAGCTACTTTTTTCATTGTCTAGGTGCTTGTTTAAGACGATATAGGGATTTGTGAAGTTTGCAGACCTTCAAGGACTCCCCCTGGCTGCTAAATCCCTCAGGACATGCATATACACCTCCTCTAGTAAATCCCCATTAAGAAAAGCATTGTGGAAATCCATTGATAGATAGTCCATTGCTTAGCTTCAGTAAGAGCTACCACAATCTTGACTGTCACCATTTTGGCTACTCGTGTAGTCAAGACCTTCTCTTTGACTGTAGCCTTTAGCAACCAAACAGGTCTTATATCTCTCCAGCTCCCCTAAGGCTCTATACTTAATTTTTAAGATCTACTTGCATTCAATTGGCACCTTACCTGATGGCAAGTCAACAATGATCCATGTATTATTGTCTTCCAAAGCAGCTACCTAGTTGCATATCTTGTATCCATTTTGGGTCAGTAGAGGCTTCTTTGAATGTCTTTGGTTTTGACAGGGCTGAATAAGCAGAGAGAGCTTGTAGATATACTGGCTTGAGCTGTTTATAGGTGACATATGATGACAGGGGATATGGGCAAGATTGCTTAAAGCCTTTGGTTACACAGTCTTGTAACTATAGGGGAGGATTACTTGTCCTGGAAGACCTTCGAGGACCCACTGAAGAGATTTCAGATGATGAAGGGACTTGCTCATTTATAGTATGTTCAATGCCTGGTGATGGAGAGATTTAGTCAGCTATATCAATCTCTGCCTCTGATGTATCAGTAAAGTGTGCAGGAGTCTCACTAGGATGAGAAGAGATAGCTGGTGACTCAGATGAACCAGTAGAAGGACATTGAACATGGCTGTTCTCATTCCTATAGTGTACACCATCAGAAGACATAAGATCTAGGACTAGAAAGATTGGAGTTCCTATTGCTTTCATGTGCTTGAAAGGAAACAGGTTCTCCTGAAACACTACATGCCTGCTTACCAAGAAACTATGAGAGTGAAGATCATACAAGTTGTACCCCTTCTGGGTAGTAGCATATCCCATGAACACTGTACGCACAACTCTAGAGGCAAACTTGTCTACTATTTTAGGAGTAGCAGCATAGTATAGGCAACCAAACACCTTTAGATGAGATAGTGAGGGAGTATGAGAGTACAACATTTCAAATGGAGATCTGTCAGCAGTGACTCTTGAGGGTAGTCTGTTGATTAGATAGACAGCTGTGGTCACACACTCTCCCCAGAACCTTAAAGGTGCAGCCTGAAATCTGAGAGATCTAGCCATATTTAGGATAGTTCTGTGCCTCCTTTTAGCAATCCCATTCTGTTGTGGGGTGTAGACACATGTGCTTTGATGATTAATCCCAAACTCAGACATAAGAGTTTTGACCTCATGGCTAAAGAACTCACCTCCATTATCTGTTCTTAGAGTCTTAACTGAACTAGTGAATACATTCTTCACTTTATTCAGAAAGTCTCTTAGTACAACCATGGTGTCTGACTTAGAAACAATTAGACATATCCAAGTATATCTGGTAAAGTCATCTACAATTTTAACAAAGAACCTTTTTCCATCATATGTTGGTACCCTGTAGAGTCCCCAAACATCATAATGTATTAATTCAAATGCATCTTTTGAAACAACAGTGCTCAATTGAAGAGGTAATTTTGTTTACTTAGCCAAAGGACACACAATACAAAATGATTGATCACAAGGTTTTAGCTTATTGAGATACTCATGCTTTCTAATCACCTCAATTGGAGCATGACCTAATCTCATATGCCATAGAGAACAAGAATCAGAAATACTAACACCACTATTATTGTTTTCACTATAAGTTGTAACACAACTTTTATTGACTGGATTAACTACATTATTTGAAGACTTAGCTGTAGTAGGTAATGAACTTCCTTGCAGTGAACTTCCCTGCAGTATGTAAAGTCCCAGTTCCTCCTTACTAATCCCCTTCACTTGACCACAGTAGAGATCCTGAAAGATACAGAAGTCAGGGAAGAATGCCACTAAACACTGTAACTCCTTGGTAAGTTTAGATACTGAAAGCAGATTATATTTGAAATCAGGTATATATAAAACATCACTGATGTCCTGATTAGTAAACACAGATGATTCCCATATATGTGTGACTACTGCTACTTCTCCTGTAGGTAAATGTACTTTGTTTCTTTCATACTCTGGAACAAACTCACAGGATTTTAATAACTGCAGGGTAGATGTCATGTGGTTGGACGCTCCAGTTTCTATTATCCATCTATTCTTAACATACTGAGATACCAAGGCAATCAGAGTACATGTTGTTGCAGTCTTGCAAGAAGTGCCTTCATCCATGCCTTTGTTGAGCAACAGAACAATTTGTTGATACTGTTCGTGTGTGAAGAAAGGAGCATGCTACTGAACAGACTTTTGAAGCACTTATTGTAGTGGTTGATATGACTCATGTGTAAAGTAAGGAGTGGGGTGTTGAACAGGCTGCTGAGGTATTTGAAGGTTCTACTGATTCTGCATTCTAAGGATCATTTGTGGATTGTTATTAGTGAACTAGTCGGCATCATACTGCAGGACTTGCATAGTTTGCATACACTCCAAGACTACCTCCCTTCTTCTTAGACTTGAAGTCTAAGGGGTAACCAACTAACTTGTAACAGGACTCCTTTGTATGTCCTTTGCAATGGCAGTACTCATATTGAGGGATCTTCTTTTGAGGCCTGGGATTTCCCCTTGTAGTTACTGGACCTCTGTTACTAAACATTGTATTACCTTCATCAACTTCTGCAACTTGCACTACCTGTGTAAAGTTTGCCATACTCCTCTGACTCTCAAGATCAACAAGCAAGGAGTAGGCTTTGTTGATGTTAGGAACTGGAGACATCATCATAATCTGACTCCTAGCTTGTGAATAGGAATCATTTAGGCCCATGAGGAACTGTAGAAGTCTATGATATTCAAAGTGAGCAGCAAACTTCCTAGATTCTGGACATGGACACTCAGGGCAAGGCATGCGTGCATCAAATTCATCCCATAAATCTCTAAGCTTAGAGAAGTAATCAGCAACAGTCATAGTCCCCTGAATTAGGGTATGAATTTCCCTGTGGAGATGAAGGACTCTAGAGCCATACACTTTATCAAACCTTTCCTTTAAATCTTCCCAGACCTTGTGAACATTGGATGCATATACAACACTACTTAGCAATCCTGGTCGTACTGCATTCATTATCCACGACAAAACTACAACATTCATCTTTTCCCATTGGTCATGTAATTCAGGTTCAAATTTAGACAGGGTATCTTGCATCAACAAAACCTAATTTGCTTTTACCTAACAAACCAATTCGCATAGATTTACTCCATATAGCATAGTTGTCTGAGCCAGTCAGTTGAAGAGAAATCAGAGGGCTAACTGGAGTATCTGTAGGTTGTAGGTAGAGAGGGTGATTGTGATTGACTGTGGTGAATCTAGTTGCACTGGTCGTCGGAGAGGCATTTGCAGGTGAGTGATTGTTCTCATCATCTGTAATTGCCATCTCCAGCTTCTTTGAGTCCAATTCAACTCGATTGAGTGATTTCGAAGAAACTCTAATTTCAATACTCTGTCACTTTGAGACAATTCAACACCGTGTGTATGAATTGAAGTAACTCAGAGAACGAACGAGCGGAAGATTGAGCTTATATCAGCGATGCAAGCTCTGATACCATGTTAACTTCCATGGCTATGGAAGATGAAGCTCAGATGATGAAGAGAAGGAAGCTTCGAGAAGACAGTTGAGAGAAAAGAATACAGATTCTGTTATTAACTGAGAAAGAATGGTACTGTACAAACTACTTCTTCTTCTACTGTTCTATTTATGCACATTACATAACTAACTAACTACTTGCTTAACCACTAATAACATTAACTCTATTTACGCTAACTAGAGTTAGATAGACTTGAGTACTCTCAACAAAATTATCAGTTAAAGAAAAGAAAAGCTTTGGTTTAGGACACCTACAAAAGAATAAAATTAATTCCGTACAAGAACTGAGGTAGAAAGGGTAGATGTTAAATTTATGCAATGAAGTTATTTCAAACAAAAGAAAAGGAAGCATTAATCAAAATTATTTGAAATATTGTCTAAATCATATATGGAAATAGAGTAACACAATATGAAGGTTTTTCCATGTTTGGTAAATTCAAAGTACAGATGCGCGTTAAAAAACTAATGTTTGAAGATGACAAGGGAATGTTGAAGTATAACTTTTTAACCCCTTTTCTATTGGAAAAATTGACTTAAAAGTCTACCCTTAACACATTAATTAACGAAATTGGAGAGACCACAATCTCTTGAATCTTGATCGTAAAAATGGTTCAACCCCCACTTTCCCCATTTTAATATTCCCCTTCCTATTTCCATTCATTTTCTTGCCACTATACAATGAGAGGATATAGCCCACTGGTGAAGGGGCTTAGAGTAACGGTAAGTTTATCTTTGTATTACCATTAATGCTTGTATTAAAGTAGCTGTCTACATTATATCCCTTGGAGTGAGGTCTTTCCGCGGACCCTGCGTGAATACAGAATATCCTTGTGCATTGGACTGTCCTTTTTTATACAATGAGAAAATATTTAATCACATTCAATATAATAACACCAAATCAAGCTATTTTACCATAATTAATAGAGGTTAGAATACATAACAATTAATTAATAAATTGTTAAAGTTTTATGTGAAGGAAAATATCACATGTTTATTGATTTAATATAAACATCGGGGTGAATAAATTGAATACAATGTCATCTCTTGTCATAATTAATCAACTTGTTGGCCTAGTTCCACTTGATGTTTGAGCAAAGGAGACATT